GAAGCAAGGCAGTAATGATACACATACAGAACCTCACTCCATGGAGTTTTGTTTTCTGCCAGTTGTTTTTGCCTGAATTCCACTTCAGCCAAACTCTGTACCAGGAGTGAAATTCTCAGTCTTTTCAGATTCTTGTGTAAGTAGTTTGTTAATTTAGTTAGCCAGTGTTAATCTTTCATTCCTATGAAGTTCATTCATTATTCCCTCTCTTTTTCTTTTTTATCTTTTTGTATACATAGTCCTGTGGTAATTTACTGTGTGCTAACACTGTTTAGTTGAATAATTCCTGAAAGAAGGGCCAAGCAGTCAAACATGAATTACAACTTTTCTGTATGTTTCTGGTTTTTAAAGTATGTTATATAAAGTAGATGGCCTTGTTATTCTGACTGCTCCATCTGATCTTACAAAGTCAATGCTTATATTGTCAGGCTGTTAGTCTTTTTGACACCTTTTAATAAGCATCATTTCAGCACAGTAAACCTTCCTTTAGGTTTATTTTTTTCGAACATGAGTTGCAGTTCTAGGATAATAGCATGCCAAATAAGTCCTGAGATAATGTAATAGCACTGATATGAAAATAAAGAAATTGATTTTTAATAATTTAGTATTTTATTTGTAACTTTAGAATAGTGGAAAACTTTATATGGAAATTTTCATTAACTACAATTTGTAACTCATAATCCAAATAATTTTTTTAAACTCTGTTCTCAATATCCAAACACTAAGCACAAGGGAGACAACATGTTTAGTGTTTTAGGTGGGAATTTAAAAGGTCGTTTTTATAATGTATGATAAATACATTAACACTTTGATGAGAGGTCTTCTGCTAATTTGCATATGCTGATCTCTATTTCTTGTTGTATGTTTCTACTATGACTTCAATGAGAACAGCTAAAGTTTGAATAACCTTTGAATTTCAGAAATTAATTTTTTAAAAAGATTGGTTTTCTTTTTGTGTTTCCAATTTCTTGAAGATTGTTATGTAATTTGTCAGTATTAGCCATTTTTCACTTTAAATAAAGTATTTCAGATGAAATAATACTTGAAATAAAGTACTGGAGATTGAAGTCTTTCAGTCTTGTAGATTTACAGGCAGCAATGCATGCAAATGCAGTTTTATGGCATCTATAGCACCATCCACCTGAAAATTATTGGCTATAGAAATGGTGTACAGAATTAGACAGTGACTGGTTATTCAAAAGTGCATGCATGGGCTGTTACAAAACATGGGTTTACATGTCCCCTGGAGAACTGTCCTAAGCTTAAGTGTTTTCAGTCCTTTTAAAGATTAATATGGGGAAAGAAAGCGTGACTTAAATGTTGCTCTTTTGCTCTGATGTTCACTGGTTTGTAGCTTATAAACAGCATCAACTTAGTTAATTTTATTTTTCTCTCAACTTCGGTTTCTCTTCCTCAGCGACTTGTAGCCAAAGCCAAAACTTTTTATGCATACCCTCATATTACAGATGAGACCTCTCTGAAAGGTCATAAAGGCCTTCTTCCACTCAAAATCTTCAGAGGCCTTTTTTCTAATTGAGTAAAGATATAAAGTTTAAAATACTTAGTTCCCTTATGATGTGACCTGATTTTTTAAAAAACAATCTGATTTTGCTCTCAAAGACAGTTAAAGTCTTAGGGACTCCGAAGACTCTCCCTCTTAGGGGTTTTCTGGATAGGGATACTGTTTTACAGCTACTGTTCAGTAGCTGCAAAAAAAGAGATTGTCAGAAGTATATAGACTTAAAATAATCTGTCCATTGAAAGTTATACTTGAAAAGAGAATTTGGTCACTTTTGCACATTTTCTCCCTGGTCCAACATCTTCAGCCTAAAAGCATCCTTTTTCCATGCCAACTCTAAGAATATAGTTTTATCTTGTGAGTTGTAGCCAGTTACCTGGGAATTCATGCCTCTGAAGTTTTCATGAAGCTGCCTGTGTCTTGTCTGAGTGCTGGAGCACAGGTCTCCTCTCACAGACACTTTTGGATTAAAAGCACTCCTACCATTTGCTTCTGCCATATCAGTACTATGTGACATAGGATATTGATGTCATAATTGATATTGACATCCTCTATACATTAAAGCATTGAGTGGAGTGAAAAGAAAGGAAAGAGATTGCTGTAAAAAACCCATTCAGCATCTGATTATTTCTTCTTTTTGTTTTTGATTATTGTGAAGCAATTATGTACAATTTTTGCTCTTAAATTGACAATCCTAGGTGAATTTCAGTCACTGGATTTGTGTTCAGTCTCTAGGATGACTTTGTACTAACCGCTGCATTTGCTTGAGGTTGGAAGGGACCTCTGATGGTCCTTTGGTCCAAGCCCCTTGCACAAGCAAGGAGGAACACCTAGACCCAGTAATGTTTAAAATCAGTATTCTTCAACTCCACTGTTTCTGTGACCTCCTTAATTAAGTCTTCTCCCCCCAAACTTTCCTACAATTCTCGTCTAAAAATGTTTTAGATTTCAGAATGAGTTGCGGTAATATTGGTTCCTGTAAGTCTGGGGATCGCTATGTCTTGCCTTTCTGAACAGAAGTCATTTTCTGGTGTGTGTTCTTGAAACATTTTGTGTGTAACTGAAGACAAATTTTTATTGTTTTATGGTCTGTTCTCAGTTTTAATGTCACACTATTACCAGCACATTCAAAATGAGAAATGCTTGCTTAGATGCAGACCATGCAAAAGTGTACAAATGCCAAATTTTATGTTTCAAAAATTAATCAGGAGTGTTGCTGAAACATCTTATTGTTATGTATACTTAAAAACTATATATATATCTCTTACTGCTATGTGTACTTGAAAACAAAAGAAAGCACTCATTAGGAGGAGTGGAAGAAATTTCTGCAGAGCCAGATTTGCATTCTGGGAAATTCTGTCATCTGACTTTCTTGAACAGAAACAGTTTCCAGAGCTGCAGATATATGTGTATCTGTAAAGTTCAAATAGGGATCTCGTTTGAAGTTCTGAACTCCTACACAGATACCTTTAAGGTGTAGGTGACAGATATTATAACTTGCATGTGGCCGGGTTCTATGCCCATTCCTTGTGTATCAGGCTTAACAGTAACTTTTGAATTGTTGAAGACAGATCTCTCAATCTGTGACTGACATAAGTTTCTTAAAATCATTTGTGCGTTCCAGGGGCACATCTGAAAACCCAATATACTTGCCCTTCCCCAGATGGCATTTAGAATAAGTATTCTTCATGCTCATGCCACCCCTGGAAGTCCTAAAAATAATTTAGGCAAGAAAGGCCTAAACTAACTCTGACTCTTTGCTAGGGAGTTGGGATATACTGGAAGGACTGTGTACAAATGGGTGCATAAATGCCATCTTCCACATTCATAAGGAACCATTAGTAACTGCAAAACTACTTTCTTCTTGACTAAAAAGAAATCTAAGCTATTAAAAAAAATTGCTATGTGTGAAAATAAAAGTTTGTGAATACATTTTTTCCTAGATTTAAAATTTTAAAATTCATTAAATGAGAGAACAAATTAAATATCTGTGTAAGTCAGCAATGAATTAAAAAATGCTGTTTCATATAACTGCATGGCCTTAGAGTACCTGTGGATATGTAGCATGAAGCTGTATGACTTAGCGGATTCACTAGCTTTGTAGTAGCAGAGGTAAAAGGACGAAGTTAAGGAAATGTCTCTACATTCTAGTTCAGTGAAACTTTTAAATATCATGTGTGAAAGGAACACATGAGATTCTTTCTATGAGATATGAGACACAGCTTGTTATGCAATGGGTCACAGGCCCAAGTAATAGTCCTATTTCAACACATATGATTTTTGATGTGTTGGCTGTTGCCATTTGAAGACTCTCAGGCAGTATTATGTGGTGTGAGATATATCCCCACTCCTTCTTGGTATTGTTTCTGAATAGATGCAGCATTTTAGTTGTGTTGAATGTGAAATAAAAAAAAATTAAAAGCAGGACTAGAGTTGACAGTGGCAGGCTTACAGAGCTATGTGAATACACTATCAGGGTTAGAACCATAGCATTTAAAACATTATGGATATTTTCTTTCTGATAAGAAAAGATAGGGTGGTGTTGACTTGCCATAGCAGTTTTCTACACTTAACAATAAAATAACCTGATAGATTTCAGTGGTTACCTTTATTCTGAAAAGCAGCAGTGTGTTTGAGAACAAGGAAAGGAAAACAGTTAAAACCTTAGTGAATGTCTGGCTGTGGTACCATAGTTTATAAGTCTGTACTACAGACATATTCAGAAGGCCAATTTCATTTTATCTGTTATATGTTCTTACAGTTGTAGCTTGCTATGGCTTATTTCAAAGGGGAAAACTGTAACTTACAAAATGTGATTAACCAGTTGTAAAGACCAATAATCTCAAAAGTGTTAGACTATTTAGAATATATAAAGTTACCACTATTGTCAAATCATTTGTTCTCTCTTGTGCTGATAACTTTATTATCAGTCTGATCAATATTACACAATTGGGACATTCTTACACTATATACGTGAAAACAATTATATTTTCCCTGCTGTACTGTAATTAGATTATTTGCTTCCAGAGATCTGTAGCTTTACAGTATTTTTTTGTTTCTGACAAATTAATTTTCTTAACATGAATTGGGAGGACTCATTTTGAAAGTATGAAAAATCACCTAATTGTGTAGTGATTCTTTATAAACAAATTGCATTTTCACTGAGTTTTGTAGTTAAATAAAATAAAAAATAGTATCAACTGTTCAGTGCAGTACTGCATGTTTGAAAATAGCTCACTTTGTAATTGGAATACACAGTCATTTGCTTTTCCTCAAAGCTATCAATATTTCAGATTTTTGAAGAAGTACAAAATCTCATGTTCGACCTCTGGTTAAGTCCTTACTTACAACCTAAGTGCCTGGTTTACAACTTTGGTTTGATTTTTCCAATTAATAAAAATTAGATCTTCTCTAATGATGTATGCTACTTGGCATTAAGTATAGCTTGTCTGGCACTAAAGATTTGCTTTACTTTTTAAAGGCTGTAATTCAAAGTTTCATGGAAGTCTACCAACTTGCAGTTTCCAGAGTTGAAATATTAGTGAGAGAAGCAGAATCTTTTCAGCTTGACACTGCAGCTCTAAAGTCCAGGCTCCAAACAGCTAGTCTTCATAAAAGGGACCTTACAAATGGTAAGTCTTCTTTTCAAGCAATTTTTGTCTTACCAGTGTGGCTTCTTACGCAGCATCTCTCTTCATGCAGTATAGTTTCTGCAGGGGAAATACAGTAATATTTATGTGTAAACGTAACAGAGCAATAAAACCAGTGTGAACAGAAACTTTTTCTGAAGAGAAATTGAATGGTAAAAGTTAACACAGGGTTTAATTTTTACTATTGTATCTTCTACAAGGACCTGTTCACATGCTAGAAAAGTACACATTGTGAATTTTACCAGTACAGTAATAGTTGAACTTTGGACCTGAAGAATTTTACATCTAGAGATGTTGGATGTTAAACCAGAATGTTATTAGCTTCATGTAATCAAAGTGTTTCTTAGGAGATCTGAATTATTTTTAGACAATTGTGGTTATGAATGATACTTCTCAGTAAATTTACAAAGTTAATTTCAAAAATAATTTCTGGTCTAAAAATATTGTTGCCCACAAACTGCTTGGATATATTTAAGGGTAATAAGGTGGGCCTTCAGATTTGATATCTGTCTCTAGGGGAATTACTAAATGCAGATTTATTTGTGTCACACAGTCTGGAGGCCAGGCACATAAACTGTCATAAATATGTAGCCAAGTATCTCTGGAGTGAGACTGTGTAGGATGTGCAACACTCAGTGTATTTCTCCCCCATCGCTTCTTAGTTTTCCACAGAGGATAAAGGAGAAGGCTTTAGAGTTCATTTTATTGGTGGTGGTTGTTGTTGTTGTTCTTCCCTTCCTACTGTCTTTTCTTTTAGTCTTGTGTAGTAAATGGCCATAAAGAAAATGAGTATTGTTTGTCTTTCTTTTTGAAACAGGAGACCTGTAAGAAGAGAGCTGTCTCAATGCAAATGACACAAATACTGTAGCAAACATATAGGGAAAGGCTGTGACTGTGGCTTTGGCTTTGATTGTTTCCAACAGAATTATATTAATTTCTCATCCTACTTCTAACAACACTATGGGAAATTACTGCAAATATAAACTCTATTAATCAGTGCTGAATTTGAGTTTTAACATCTTGAGGTGACAATTGTTGAATGAAAACTTTGTTTATTTCTGATTACACAGCCTTTCTAAGAAATGAAATTACTTCACTGAAATTGCTTTTTTCCTCTTCCAACCAGACTCTTTTGATGTCTTCTGCTATGTTTATGTGTGTCCTGCTGAGCCTGTGCCCAATGTAATTGGACTTCTCCTTTGCCTGTTATGGTTGTTTTTGTTGATGACCACTTGTTTACTACAGATTGGGAAGTCTGCCAAACTTGCAGCAAGGTTTGCTTTCATTTGCATTGAGAGGGCTTTTAACAAAGATTATGCTAGTCCTGTCTATGAAGGGCTTTGCAGTGGCCTGATACATTACAGTGAAAACCAGCTCTTGGATGTTTGTGTAAATGCAGTGTTTTTTAAATAGTTTGTATCTGCATGCAGTGCCAATGTAAAGATTGCATTGTGGAGGGATCTCTTAGCCCTCTGGGGAGAACAGTAGTTCTTCCTTTAGATGAAGTTTAATTTGAATCTAGGCCTAAGCATTAATATGAAATGTTTTAAAATTTTAATGTAAAAGTGAAAACATTCAGAATGAGAATCTCAAGTTGCCATGAAAAAGTGATTATGGTATATTTTGTAGTATCTGGGTTTTCTGTAAATTTGTCCCTAATATTTGTAAAAGTTGCATTAAGCATGAATTTTAATAACTTCAGGCATCACAGCTTTGCAGTGTGACTTAGATTTTAAACGTTGTAGTTGATACTGTTTTGGTTTGATTTTGAGAGAGATCTGCACTGAATTGCTCTCTCTAGTGAAAAAAGTAGAACCGATTTTTTTCCTTATTTTAAATGAAAGGGAGCAATGACTTCTTGAGTACATATGTGGTTTCAAAATTAGACTAGCTGTGTTAGTTTTAATTCACTGTCTTCAATCATATTTCCATTGCAGACAAAATTTTACATGGAGGTGGCAAACACAGCAGTTGGACTGTATTGGTTGCAGGCCTTTGTATGACATATGTTTGTGTTTCCTGAAGAGTAACTACTGCTCAGTGCTGAAATACATTTTTTAAATCTTCCAGTTGTGTATCATGTGTGGACTCTTACCTTATCAAATTGGGATTTATCTCACATGTTGTGGCTGCTTCTTGAAGTCTTTTATGCTAGTCGCTTAAGGATCTTGCCCTGTCTTACATTGCATGCAAGTTTGGCTCATCCATGAACATTGATATTTTCCATGCTTATTGCTTTCCTAATTGACCGGTTTCTACTGAAATTTCTTAACTATGTCACCTTTCTTTCTATTCACACCACTTCTCTCTTCTGCTGCTTTGGGTTTTGCTAATAATTTTAAAAACAAAATTGATGGCATGAGGCAAAATTGGTGATTCTAACGCTTCATCTTTTATCTCAGACTCCCAATTGACATCTCCATCCTCCAGCCCATTTCTAGTCCAAGCATTTCCTTCTAGTCAATAGAGTTTAGATTCTGAGATTGCTATATGTGGTCATGCTAATGCCAACAGAGGGGAACGAGAAGGGATGTGATTATGATGGACAGAGGTGAGATGAACACTGGAAACATTGCTTATAGAGAAGAGAATTATGTAGGGAGAAGTGAAGTCAGTGGCAGAATGTCTCTGTAGTCTTCATTAGTGCCCAGTTATCTATCTGTCGTACTTGTCTTTGACGATTCTTTCTCTGTGGAGAAAAAGGCCCTGTGCATTTTTAAATCTTGCAACTCTTTAAAATTCAGTATGGCTGAAAAACAGCTTAGGTTTTCTACCTGTCTTCCTTTCTTCTTTGCTTCTTTCTGCTCCCCCTCCCTTCCTCCTCCCCTCTCCCCGCCCTCCCCTCCCCACCTTTTTCTATTGTTCTCTATTCCTGAGGGTTCTTGGTTGGCTGGTTTCAGTTTTTTTAACTTCTTCTGATTTTTTGTTTGTTACCAACTGCTTCTGAAATTTCCCTTACATTTCTAAAATGTCTCTTTTTTTTCTTGTTTTAGGAAACTATCAACATTTTGTAATAGTCCTTCCTGCCTATTTCGTTTTTAGAAACATCCAGTAATATAAATATCATAAACTGGACTGTGCTGAATTCTACTGTCTTTATTAATTTTTATTCTTCCTCAGATACATTGCTTTATTATTATACTTGCACATTCTTTCAGAGTTGCAGTAATAAGTAGACCTTGAACTGAGAGCTTAGAAGTGCTTTATTGTGCAGTAGTGCAGTCAATAGGCAGTTTCTTTGTGGGTGCTGCATGGCAATGTGTCATCATATTTAGTCACATGGCAAGTATTTGAATCCATGGTACCCAAGGGGCTTTTGCTGCAAGTGCAGGGTTGCAAGGTGTGGATGCAGTGACACTCTCTTTTCCAGGGTGACTGGACACATTGAAGGAACAGTGAACAGAATTCAGTTCATTATAAAATGTTTTCAGAAAGTCTTCTTGTAGCTTCCAGCCCTAAGATTTTATACCTGATGTCAGTACTTTTGTCAGAAGTTGAAGAATGTACAATAATCTGGTTTCAGTTCTGGTAAACAAAAGAAGTTACTTTTGTGCTTCTTGTCAGGTGCTTCTCTGAACCTGCATGGGCACTGATCTGGTGATACTCCTTCCTTTTTCTGTTTTCATCTCAGAATCAAAGGAGAATAAAAAATGAAGAGCAAAATACAGTAATTTCTAAAGATTATGAAGAGAGAAAAGCTTTGTGTGTGCTGGAGAAATGGAAATTGGGGGACCCAAAACCACAACTTTATTTGAAAGGGGGAGAAAGTGAGTTTCAGATGGATGAGAGGGGTGAAGTAAAGATGTCTGTAAATGTACTAGAATTCCCTAACTCTGAAAACAACTGTTGTCTTTTGATGCTCCTAGCTGACATGAAAGTAAAGTCACTCATTGGTTTAATGTGGCTATATATTTGTGTCATATCTTTTTCACCACCGTTGTGTTTGTGTCTATCCTTTGTCTAGAAATGTCTAGTGATATCACTTAAAGTATTGAAAATACAGAAATGGTGCCTTTTGTTGAGGTGAGAGAAGCAGGCAGAATGATCTTTTGCATGAATAGTATGTATTTGTTTTTGAGATCCTAGTGATTGACATATCGTTTCATACTTCGGTGTTGAAAAATGCATTAAGCAAGATGTACACTTTCCTCCCTACTCAAAGCAGTCAGCACTCAGTTCTCATGATCTACATGAAACCCTATTCATAGATGATAGAGAGAAAAGAAATATTTAAAACTCAAACTTATCAGCTAACTATTTCCTGACATTTTCTCCCTACTTAACCAGGCTGATCCGGGCAGTGGTTTTACATATCTTTCCCCCATATACTTTGTTTCCTTGTCACCAGTTCAATCTGTTATGGCTAAGACCTGCATCTAACAAGGATGCATTGTCCTAAATACAGAATTATGAGGATGGAACTAGAGAGAAAAAAAATCCTAACTATTTACCTGTTCTCTTGCTGCATAAAGGGAAGGTATTTATCAGTGTCATGTTAAATGTCAGAGCCTTATTTCTGATGTAGCTGGAGGAATTCTTCCCAGATGTTGCAAGAAGCAGGTAGGTCCTGAATGAAAACTCTCTGTTGTGGTTTGACATGACAAAGATGCCAGGCACCCACAAAAGTCTTTCACTCACTCTTCCCTACCACAGAGGAGAGGAGAGAGGGCAGAGGAGAGAAAAATTTAATGAAGGCTTCATGGGTTGAGATAAGCACTGGGAGAAAACACTCCAGGGACAAAACAGGTTCAACTTAAAGGTAAAACATGAATCTATTACTAACAGAGTCAGGGGAGGATAATAAGAAGTAAAATAGGCAATTAAAACCACATTTTCTTCCCCCACCCCTCCCTCCTTCCCACCAAGAGTGCAGGGAGACCGGGCGTGGGGGTTTGGTCAGTTTGTCACCCCGGATCTTCCACTGCTGAGGGAGAGGAGTCCTTACTCTGCTGCACCATGGGGTCCCTCCTACAGGGGAAAGTTCTCCATGCACTTCCCCAATGTGGCTCCAATCTCACAAGCAGCAGCCCTATCAAAGCTGCTGCAATGTGAGTCCCTCCCACCGGCACGCAGTCCTCCCAAAACTGCTGTGGCGTGGGTCACCCTTCCATGGGGTGCAGAACTCCAAGGACAGGCTGCTCCACCCTGGAGGCAGGGGCCCACTCTCTCCACCAGGTCTCCCACTGGATCACAGCCCCCTCCAGACATCTACGTGCTCCAGCATGGGCACTTCCCCCAAGGGCTGTGGGTGCATCTCTGCATCCCCTGTGGGTCCCCAGGGGCTGTGGGTGGATCTCTGCATCCCCTGTGGGTCCCCAAGGGCTGCAGGGTCACAGCTGCTTCACCCCGGTCTCACCACGGCCTGCAGAAGAACCTCAGCTCTGGTGCCTGGAGCGCCTCCTCCCCTCCTTCTGCACTGACCTTGGTGTCACCATGTTCTTTTCCTCACATGTTCTCATCTTCTCCTCTTCTCTGGCTAGGAAAGAAACTGCACCTCACTTTGTTTTGATTTTCTTCTTAAATATGTTATCACAGAGGTGTTACCAACCCCACTCATTAGCCCAGCTTTGGCCAGCAGCATGTCCATCTTCAGAGCCATCAGGGATTGGCTCTGCCAGACATGATGGAAGCTTCAGCAGCTTCTCACAGGAGCCGGCTTTGTGGCCTCTCTCTGCTACCAAAAACCAGGCTGTGGAAAACCAACAGTCTCCTTGGCTTTTTCACTACCTCACATAGTCTTATGCACATTTGAATTTGTTTCATGAAAGAGTTGGAGATACTGGTTTTTAAATTGCCTTGCAGATAGTAATTAGACTTACTATTTTTGTTACTGAGTTGATGTGTTTTCCTGGAAATAGTTTTGGGCAGAATTCAATAAATATGGACCTTAATAATCATAACTTTGCTCAGTATTGTTACTTACCAGTGTTTAGTTGCTGTGGAACATGTGAATGTTCCTGAAGTGATAGTAAGTAAAGAAAAATATGACAGGCCCACAAGGAAAATTTCCTGACTATTGAGATGGTCATAAACATCAAAGTGTGGGAATATCAGAAAAGTGAAAATAGAAGTTCATAAGATTTACTAAGTTTAATGTCTGTGTAAGACTGAATCCACCAATAATATCTTCCTGAAATTCTGTTTTTATTGAAATAGTCACATTTATTTCCTGACTTTAAGTAATTTGGCATCACTTTGTGAGAAATTACTCTCACTTTCAAAGGTTTATTAAACCCAAAAAAAATACAGCAAAGGACTGAATAAGGAAAAAGGACAGCACACTGGGATTTGGTCATTGGCTGCTACAAACTCGTCCTTAAAAATGGGAGTTGCATCAGGCAGTGCTGACTCCTCCTAAAGTCTGCCAGTCAGCTCTTTTTCGCCATCCATTGGTGGAGACTTTCTTGTACTTGATTGGAAGTCAGGTGTTGTCATATCTTGCCCCCCTTTCCCCATTCTCAACTTCCCCATGCAAGGGGCTCAAGTACAAGCCTTCTCTCCACATGTTCTGCACAACCCAGGCTGTCCAGTGGCAGCAGTACAGAGGGGGTGAACGGGCACTATAGCAAGAACAGAGGACATCTAAACAACAAACCACAATAACATAACTATACATCAATAAATCTTCTCTTAACATACACACAATATTCATCTCTTAATTACGAGAGGCAATCATCCCATTACTTATCTATAACAACTTGCCAGCCTTACTGCATAGCCAAGGAATGCACATGTCCTAATGCAAATGATCACTTGGTCACCTGGTGTTGCTTACACAAGTAATAGTTGTAACTAAACAGTATGTATTATATAGTTTAAAATAATACTACTGCTGCTACTACTAATAACAACAACAACAACCAGTATTATAACTCACATTCTGCAATTTAGGGTAATGTTGTGAAAAGCAACATTACCCTAAATAAATAGCAAACAACATGTTTGCTATTTTGTAAAGAATGCTTCCTTTTCTATGCAAAAAATTTTTGATACTCAATATTCTAGGTACATGAACTTTAAACTTGTCAGACTGTTATATTTGAATATTATAGTAATTTGATTAAAATGTTGCCTATAAGGCAAAAGGTTCAGTTAATAGAATCCATATGTAATTAAAGTGCATAACCAAATGTAATCAGACCCCAGTGACTGGTGCCTTCATACTGATAGTTTTACAGTGGCCTCTGGGGTTGAAAGTTTATGTTACAGTTACCGATGTAGCTGTGCTCCAGAAAAAAAACAAGGCAATGTAGCTGTTGAAGCAGGTATGACAAGGTCTCAAACTGATAATCATACAAGAAAAGTAGCTGATAGTCTGAATTCTGCAGCTGTCTTCCACTTGGCAGGTGGAAGAAGCACAAGACTCCTGTATTGTACTAGTCAAAGTGTTGCATTCTGCAGCACCACTGCTATGTAAACATTCCTATATGAGGGAAGTATGTCCAATGAGAGCAAGTAACAGTGTATTTTTTTAATAATATAGTTGCTTGATTTGTGTGAATTCATGTTTTAATCATCTGAAAGTTATAGACACAACACTATGTACCAAGCCACAAAAGAAGTTTAAAAAAATTTCCTGAACTTAAAAAAAAAGTAAAATATTTTCTCTGGACAGTTTTAAGAGTTGACATCCTGTGTTAGAGTTCTCTAATCATCACCAGCACAATTTACAATCAGAACACACAGAGAGCCAGTTCAGACCAGCTCATCTGTTGACTTTGGCAGAAGCCCTTAATCTCACTGTGTGTAGCTGCCACTTGAGAGCTGGGGACTCGGCAGAGAGCCGAAGCAGGGTGGGATGCAGGGTTGGTCAAGGCATGAACACATAGGCCTGCTTCATTTCAACAGCCATATACTGCTTTTTTTTATACTCTTTTCATTTTACAGCCTTTTTTTTTAAAACCTGAAATTAAATGAGGACCTCTCATGAGCCACTGCGCTCCAGGCATAAGAAATTGTAATGTCTGGCTTCCAGAAACTGTCCCGTCAAAATGTGCTTCTGATTAGGTGGCTTAATTACAGCTGTGAAAACAATGTTGATTTAGGCCTCAAGATTCCAGTGCATGTCAGCCGTTATTAGCTAGCCTTGGACTGAAGCCACCATTTTAAAACTCTGTACCACTAAAGTCACACACTGCCTGACAACTTTTTATTTAGGCAGAAATGTTGCCAGAAGCAACACATTTTATGCAAAATATTTTTCATTGCACAAATTT